AAAGCATGCACCTTACAAAATGTCATCTCCTTACAGAGTGTCTCCCAACCGGTGGAAATCCACTCAGCCATTTGGACGCAAATCCACCTCTAATCCGCTTGGTCTTCCATCCAGGTGGACGTTTTGTAAGGTCCAGCATGTCCAGCATACGTATGGGAATGTAATTTATGTCGATGAAGAATCCAATATGACTTATATAAATAATATGGAATGTGAAGCTTGGGCATGACGTGATCTCGGGACTGGCAGACCGCATTCAAAAGACGGGGGAAGCGGGGGAAGCGGGGGGGGGAAATTTCACCTCTCCTCCCCCCTCCCCCCTCCCTCACAGATAGAGACAGATCGACACACGGACACACCTACAAATACACACACACACACGAACGCACAGGCATCCAAGTGATTAGGATCAACAGTCCATTTTTTTTTAGACAAGGTGGAAACGGAAATATGCGGAAAGGTGTTCCGGGATCTAGGTCAGCGAAATCACGGAACCCCCATCAACGCGTTTCCAATGGCGCAATCCGGATCGACGGCCTTCTCCGTCTCTCACCGGCATCCGGCACCGTCGGCGTGGACCGTCTTCGGTTGCCACTACTTAAGGCTGAGGAGGAGGAGGCACGCTGCCGAGTTGCGCGTTTTTCATCCTCTTCGCTTCACTGGTGAGCAGGGAAAACCTTTTTTTGCAATGTCAAACCTGAGGTTGCACGCCATTTTGGCAAGAGATCGGAATTGCAATTCATTTTCAAGCCGAGTGCCCGTGGCCAAATGTGCACAGAGGATTAATCGAATAGGAATTAGCGAAGCACGACAGTCTGCTCTGCAGCGCAGTCCACACTCGACAGACATTTTGCAGAACCTCTTCGAAGCTCCCGCGAAAAAATGCTGAAAATGGGGATTTTTCACAGGGGAAAGCCACAGGTGAAATTCGTTAATGACGTCTTCCAAAGCATTAAGTAATTAACATTAAGTCAGGTCAACAATTGATTTCCTCCGCTTAAAAATCTGGTACTCTCTATTTCCAATAGTGCAAAAAGGAAATTGAAAAATTTTCGCCGTGTTTTGGCAGATAAAGTTTAGGTGCTTCCAATAATTGTAATTCTGTGCAGTCGAATTTTTCGCTAAAAGAAATTGCTTGACTTCATTATATCCTATGGTATCCTATTTGATCCCGTTTGATTTATTCGCAGACCTTGAGGTTTTCTGGATTAAAAAAAAAACTTTTTGCAAATTCTTCAACCGTTTCCAAGCTCAAAGAACCCAAAAAGTTGTATTGTTTAATTAAATTATTGTTTATTTAAATTATTGTTTATTTAAATTATTGTTTAATTAAATTATTGTTTAATTAAATTATTGTTTAATTAAATTATTGTTTAATTAAATTATTGTTTAATTAAATTATTGTTTAATTAAATTATTGTTTAATTAAATTATCGTTTATTTAAATTGTCGTTTATTTAAATTATTGTTTATTTAAATTATTGTTTATTTAAATTATTGCTTATTTAAATTATTGTTTTTATTGTATTAATGTTTGTTTTTTTCTCAATCGGGAAGTTGAATTGAAATTTCTGGATTTCAGGTGCCTGAAGGTCACGGATACCCCCTGATCCAAATCGAAGCTCTCATCTGTTGGAAGGCCTCCACGCCTTCCGGAGCTGCATCCTGGTGGGAGCGTTATGTCACGATGAAGTCATCACGATTATGCAGATCCCGACCTGCTTTTGCGAACGGTTCAATGCCAAACCAAAACGTTGAAAGCGTTGATTTCGCACTTGAGGAATGATTGCATAATTTTCTTGATTTTATTTTCGCCTTACCGATTGAAAAGCTGGTATAGTCTATTTCCTGAATCCTTGTGCACGCGGTAGACTGAAAAAGAGTCAAAGGGTAACGGTGTTCATTAGATAGGCGTCATTGTCAATGGTGACAAATGAGAGCAACAACATTGACGAAGAAGAATTTTTGCGAACAAGTGCTATATGGTCCTCTCCTCCCCCCTCCCCCCTCCATTTTTTGCCCCTTCCTTCATGAATATGGAGTCCCTGTATCAACTCTGTTAACAGGGTGCTAATACATTTTACGGCGGTTCTCCAGGCAGCAGGCCCATGCCGCTGCACAAAGATTCAGGATGCGCACTATCCCCTATTAGGAAAGAGGGGACGCAGGGGACTGCCCTTCCACCTCCTTGAAAGAAGGAGGTTTTCCTGAAAGAAGTGGAGAGTTCGGATCGAATGATGTAAAATTAAAGAAAAGAAGGGGAAACACGACAAGTTCAAATGGGAGACAGGTGGTGAAAGAAAGGGGAGAACAAAGGGAGAACGGGAAATGAAATCATTCGAAAAGACACCGTCACAAAGCAAATATGCAGTGCAAATATGCAAATAAGCACTCAGAAAGCGCAGCGACCATGGAGTTGATGTTGGAGTTGATGTTGGAGTTGATGTTGGAGTTGATGTCACATCACTAATGTCACATCACTAATGTCACATCACTAATGTCACATCACTAATGTCACATCACTAATGTCACATCACTAATGTCACATCACTAATGTCACATCACTAATGTCACATCACTAATGTCACATCACTAATTTGATGTTGGAGTTGATGTTGGAGTTGATGTTGGAGTTGATGTTGGAGTTGATGTTGGAGTTGATGTTGGAGTTGATGTTGGAGTTGATGTTGGAGTTGATGTTGGAGTTGATGTTGGAGTTGATGTTGGAGTTGATGTCACATCACTAATGTCACATCACTAATGCCACATCACTAATGTCACATCACTAATGTCACATCACTAATGCCACATCACTAATGCCACATCACTAATGTCACATCACTAATGTCACATCACTAATGTCACATCACTGTCACATCACTAATGTCACATCACTAATGCCACATCACTAATGCCACATCACTAATGTCACATCACTAATGTCACATCACTAATGTCACATCACTAATGTCACATCACTAATGTCACATCACTAATGTCACATCACTAATGTCACATCATTAATGTCACATCTCGCGTTATGCGAGATGACCTCATTGATCATGGGAAGCCGCCTCCCAACCTTGCTCTTGCCTCCGTCGATGTCCAATCGCTTCGTGCGTCTGTTGCTCACGGTTGTGGCGCGAACGCATGCACTCACTTCTTGGAGAAAATTTCACTCCGACCACGACTTCAAGGGCAACGGAGACGGAGATGGATGCGGATGCAGTTATACTTGTCTTTCTCTTCGGGACGTTCGAAAAGAAAGCCTTCGAGAAAAAAAGGCGCCCTGAAGCCCTCGAAACGGTTCCGTCTCATTCTAGGCATCTTTAAATTCTGGCATCACTGTCTCGAAAACTTTTCATGACCTCCTACATCCCGTCAAATTCACCCACACCTACTCTGTCACTTCAGCCAGATTCCTTGATCGCAAGGCATTCACTTCCGCAAGCCTTCGACTTCGCTTCTCGTCCCGTCGCCCCCTCTCTTCCCCCTTTCCCCTCTCTGACATCCATTCGTCTATTCAGGAACGGCATATTGTTCCCTGATAAATATGCGCATAACCCCCCCCCCCCTCTCGTTGGAGGCGAGGTTGTTTGCCTTAATCGATTTCCCTGCTACCGTTGAACATCTCCATCATCGGGATCTGGCTTTGATTCTTGCTGCGCATCGTGTCTCATTACACGATACAATGAGTCTGAATTTTGCCAGACTGTTCCAAAAGGACTGAGAGGACCTGCCCGATCCGAGAGTCAATTATTGAACAGGACTCCAAGGACTTGTTGTCGTTCGATGTCGACGGCTGATGAATTCATTATCGGTCGAGATTATCATTCATCATCATCATCATTTAGTCGTTAGCAGTCAGAGATGAAGGTATGTTTCTCCATCAAAGGAGTGAGGGGGATTCGTCGTAAGATGCGCGAGAGAGCCCTGAGGTTTTCTCAGCCCACAAGAATGGTTTTCAGGAGAATTCGTTTGCGTTTTTTCCCAGGGAAATGAGGGGCAATATCGTTATCCGCTCGGTGCGTTCATGCTGTTCTATGTTTGTTCGGGGACTCGTGCATATAAGGCAACGTTTCCTAGAAGCTCCTTGAGTCGACGTCATTAATTATATGTCTTGCATGACGGACATTCAGTCGCCATGGACGCCTGAACACGTGGATCACATATATCAAGGGATTTACTTATCATCGAGTATTAAACCCTGTTGTGCCCGAGAGGCGTGACTTGCTTGCAAAATCTTGAGGAAAATGTATGCAAAGGGGAACCGTGGGGAAACATCTCGGGAACTCAAACGGGGTAATTTAGTTTCTTAAATTATAAATTACACTCTAACGGTGCTTTTCAATGGAGAAAATTATTAGTCGCCATCTGCAACTACGTCCTGCATGACGTAGAAATCGATCGTCATGGACACCTGCTCATTGTGGCGCAGGAGGAGGTGGATGTCTCGCAAAGGAGAGGAAGGGAAGGTTGACGCGTCCCCTCTTTCCTATTGGAGGGATACGCTCGCCATTCCGACTTTTCTGGCATTCCGGGTTTCCCAGGGGAATCTTGATGGGATGTGAAGTCTACAGCCTTTGTCTATGCGAAAATAAATTTAATTCCAATACCTATTGAATTCCTCTCGTGAAAATGTCCTGCTCTTTTTTATTACGTATTTTCCTCCGATAACTCGATAACACAATTGTGCAGATAGGAGTCAGTTACGATGGAGCTTCTACTGTAGTCTGCATTTTTTAAATGATCAATTTATCAATTTAAAAATTATCAATGTCTGCATTTTAAAAATTAAAAATCCATCGTGATCACCTCACCAGTCGGGATTGTGGGATGAGTTCACATATATCAGTGCCCATCCCGAGCCTTGAAGTATATCGGTATGAATGCAAAGGGTGCGACGACTTTTTTTATTATGGAGATTGCTGCAAGAGCATACAGCAAGGTCGACGTCGACAAAAGTTCAGCTGCTTTCTCAAATATTGGAATACGTTTTACAGCACTTCAAAGGAATCTTTTCCATCATGGAAAATGTATATGTTGAGGTTTTGGGTGTCTCAGAACTCCTGTCACTTTTCGCATTACTGGGTTTATTTTACAGCTTTTATTCTTTCTCTCTTTACTGAACCGTTTCTGAAAATAGCGATGTTATTTATTTATTATTTGTATTATTTATTTACTATTTAGTGCCTTCGTTTCAGAAACGCCTGTGCAGTTTTGATTTTCGAAAAGGATTTCACATTCAGGTGCTCAGCTTCAAAATGTGTCAGGGAATCGTGACCGAAAAAAGTACTTTCAGGACTCAAAGAAAAAAATTTCAGTTCGCGAAAAATTCCGAGGCGAATATGGAGGATCCTCGGACCCGTCTCATCATCACAAGGTCTGCTGCAAGTTAAAAAAAAAAATTATGAAAAGGATGAAAATGCTGAAAGTGAAGCAATATTTGAAGCAAAATTCTTGCATCGCCATCTCAGCCACTGATCGTCCTGAGGCAACTCAGGAAGTTATTATAGTTGCTCCTCAATGAGAACCTCGTCGTTCCCAGAGTCTGTGATAAAAAAAAATAATAATTTGCTCTGTGAAGGAATTGCCTGGTTTACTCGATGGAATGGGACTCACTTTCAGATAACAGTTGGAAGAAGTGCAGGTGCAAAGGCTGTTGCAGTTGGCGTCGCTGCTGCACGCGATGATCTTGTTGCCGGCGGTGCCGGCGGTCGTGTTGAAGTAGGTGGAGGTGAAGCAGCTGTCCCTCAGGTGGGAGAGGAAGCTGCTCATCCGCGCCGGGGGGAAGAAGAGGAGGTTCACGTAGCCGGCGCCCTGGGATGCAGAGGATGCGACGGTGGTCAACTATGTGAGGGGGGACGACGTCCCCGTCCCTTTAATTTTCCCCGGCCCTTTAATTTTCCCCGTCCCTTTAATTTTCCCCGGCCCTTTAATTTTCCCCGGCCCTTTAATTTTCCCCGTCCCTTTAATTTTCCTCGTCCCTTTAATTTTCCCCGTCCCTTTAATTTTCCCCGTCCCTTTAATTTTCCCCATCCCATTAATTTTTCCCATCCCTTTAATTTCCTCCATCCCTTTAATTACCCTTTAATGGCCTACGGGTTGGAATGCGATGAACCTCTATCCAGAAATTTTATATTTTGTGTCAAATTTTTTAAAACTTGCATTCGCGAAGGATCTGCTTCAAATGAGTTTGCAGTACAAAAAAATTAAGTAATGAGCGCATGGCAATTTGTTTCACTGTCTCGTAGCAATTCTGATGGAGTGATTGCTGTCAAGCAAATTGCTCTTTAGGCCTTGTCGGTCGTAGATAATCTTTTCGGCTATCGTTGGAATCCCCAGATTTCCGAGGATTATCGGGACATCTTATCTTCATTTCCCAAATTGGCGATTTAAAAATAAGGATTAAGAAAAAAATTAGTATTCGGGCTGCCAAAATGACCGAGTCGGTGCATCAGCTCCGGATATCCGGATATGCCTGAAACAAGTCCTTCTTCACCCATCAGTTCACCCGTGAGTTCACCCATCAGTTCACCCGTGAGTTCACCCATCAGTTCACCCGTGAGCTCTCACCCGAATGCAGGATCTGCAGGCGGAGGCCGTCGAGTTCGACGCGACAGATCCGCATGTCAAGTTCTCGATCGTGAATAACCCCTCCATCCCAGGCACCTGAAACTAGAAAACAGGCGCCAAATGAAAATACTAGAAAACAGGCGCCAAATGAAAATACCAGCCAGCAAATCACTTTTTTTTCCGCTTCCTTCGTTTCCTAACTCGCAAGTCCATTTTGTGAAAGTCCTCTTCAACTGTTGGTTAAGGGTTAGTACTGCAAATTTCAGCCTCTGAAATTTGCATAAGAAATATAATCGGAAATATGGTTCCATAACTTTTTCATTTATTTATTATCGTACTGATGTTTTTTTTCGCGAGTGTTGGGTCTTGGGAGTGCGTGGGAAACATTTCTGGCTTACCGATTTCTTTCCTGCCGATTCCTCAGATTTTTCTCAGAAGTACTGCAAGTACCGCGAGTACCGCGAGTACCGCGAGTACCGCTAGTCACTGGTGCGTTCTCCCAATTTCGCAAAAAATATCAATATTTTCGGTGACAATATGTATCTACAATTCAGCTTTTGAAGATTCTATTTTTTTTTATATTTCCTTTAAAGTTAAAACTAGTAATAGAGAAAATTTTCCCAGGAATCGACACAGAATATTTAAATACCTGTATAATATTTAAATCCCATTCGATTTCTTTTCCTACTGAGTTTCCTTCGGATTTTTTTTTGGTTTTTTTTCCGACTCATTGGATTCCAATTGAGTTTGCAAATCCTCCGGAAACCTGGCAGATGCGAATCGATTAATCGATTTTTGTGACTTCGTTCAGGCTCATTTCAGCACTTTGGATTCGCACTTTGGATTCGCACTTTGGATTCGTGCGAATTGAAGCACAGATCATCTTGCGAAAATGTTCTTACAACTTACCAGTGCAACATAGAGAACCAAGAAGATCAAAGTCGGCGCGGGCAGCTTGGACTGCATGTCGAGGTGCGACGACGTGCGACGACGTGCGACAAAGTGCGACGAAGAAATCCAACTGACGGCCTTTCCTCACCTTTTCCCATTGATCCCGGGCAAATCCTCAAGGAAAACAAGGTAACCGCTAATCCACGATGCTGCCGCGCAACCGACGAGGCCATCGATCATAACCCGCGCGATAATCGTCGGCTGATAATCGTCGACCCGTGACGTCCCCTTCCCCCTCCTACCGTATTCCAGCGTTTTCTTCCTCTTCCTTCCTTCGGAAGAAAAAAAATCGCCATTTTTCTCGGCACCTTTCCGATTCGACAAGTTAATGAAAGCCTCCGAAAGCCTCTAAGTCCCCCGAGAAAAATCTTAAAAGTTCATCAGCAGCTGAGAAGCGAAATTCTCAGCTGCAAGTCTATCTCTTCGGCTTCCCTTCTCCGCAACGTGCAAAATCCTGCAGCGCAGGTTAAATCATGGTAGGTAGGTATACAAGGGAGGGAACATCTTGCACATGAAGATATATTAACCTAATTTCCATCGAGAAAGCGAATCTCGCCAATCCTTGATCTACGGAGCCCGCCTGCCTGCCCACCCCCCCCCCCCCCCCCCCCCCCCCCCCCAAGCCGTCAAGGACTTTCGATCTTGCAAACTCCATTCGCAAACATGAATAATATATATATATATATATGTATATAATATATATGCCCAGGGGAAAGAACCACTATTGGATCCATCGGTCGTCTAATAGCATATGATTGCAGGGTACGACAAGGTAATACACTGCAGAGTACATGTATACGGTTCTTCTGACATGAGAGTCTGACTCCTTTGTACCCAGTCAGCAATTTATCCCCAGTCCAAGTGGAGCTTATCCAAAAGTCAGCTGTTCACCCGCAAGTCAGCTGTTCAGAGATTGGCCCGTTGGTGGCATATGCATAGGGCGTAACGTAACTAAATAACGTAAATGGAACGTAACGGAAATGTTTGCTTTTTCTGCGGCAAACCCCGATGGTGGAGACGTTTCTGTCTGCAGCACTAGTACTGGCGGTACTAACATAACGTCCTGCCAAAGGACGAGCCGGTACCATGCAGAAGCAGGAGACGGAATAGAGATTACAAGAGATTAAAGTACAAGAGATTATCTTCTCCTGAATAAGTAGTATATTCCGCAGCTCTACAGGCCAAAATGCATTTTATTACCAATAAAAATCCGTTTAAATGCGCGTTTTGCATAGATTTGAGCTGAGCAAAAAATTCCCTGAAGTGCACACTATTTATCAGAAAGGGAGAAAAAATTTTAAAAATTAAAAAATTAAAATTTTTTTATGCCTCTCGTTCTCATGCGGATTTCCGCATTGTCAAATAGCAATTGCCAAATTGCAATTTCATGGATTTTCAAAGAGTGCGGAACCCTGCTGACAGGCAGTGACGAGAGGAGGGGGGTAGGTCTGCCAGTGACAGCCAGTGACAGCCAGTGACACGAGGGAATCACAGTGCTTCTCGGGTAGTCGTGGCTTAGGTTGTGGTCGAGGTGGTACTTGAGAACGAGGAAAAGAACAAATCTCAACTGTTTCATTAATGGTTGGCAACCAGGGTTGCCAGATGAACTTGCAGAGTGTCAGGGTTGCATTGGTTTCACAAAGCTTTGTGATTTTTTTAAAATTCAGTCTCGGGTCAATTTCATTCGAAGGCATGCAGATTTTTTTTGCGAAAACTCTACCGTCGTTCCTTCATCGTATTTCGGAATCGGGCAGGTTTTTTCATATCCGTTTTGTTATGGCCGTTCTTCCTGTTCTTCCTGCGAAAAGTTCCATTTAGATGCTTCCTGTGTGCTCGCTGAGCATCACGGGCACGACTCACCTCGTCGACGCCAAAATTGTGCAAAAATAGAGTCAATTTTTACCGTAATAAGCCATCTGACCTCGGTAGATCGTTCTGCATTGGGATACCCAGAAAGCATAATTTCTCGGCGAAAATATGAAAAAAAGGGAAATTGGCAACGCCAATTCGAAAGCGGAAGAAGGAAGGGTGTGAAACAATAATCCCTTCATAAATTGCCATATCGCTCTTTCCGTCGCGCCGGGATGGGAGGCTCCAGGGGACAGCACGAACGTAGCGGGAAGTCAGTCTTCGCTCTGACTAGCCACATTCAAACATGGGTGCCGGTCTGCTCTACTTCCTCGTCCTTTCGCCGACGGCGCTGCTCGCCTCGCCTCTCTCCACCTTTCTGGTACGGCTCAATTTCTTTGTACCCTTGTCCTCTGTATGTACTGGTGGAAATGGGTACCAATCCAATTCAAGTATTTGATCTATGAGGGTTTCAGGGAAAAAGGAAATTCCCGCTCTCGTAAAATCATCAGTTAGTTATCATCAGTTAGTTATCATCAGTTAGTTATCATCAGTTAGTTATCATCAGTTAGTTATCATCAGTTAGTTATCATCAGTTAGTTATCATCAGTTAGTTATCATCAGTTAGTTATCATCAGTTAGCATGGGATTTTCGCATGGCATGGCACCGCAAAAGTAAAAGTGAAAGTGATCTTGTAGATAAGAACTTCTGGAAGAATTTTACCTTCAGGACTTTCTGATTTTCCCTTTGTACTCATTTCATGCCAGAAGCCCCAATTACGTGTCAACCCTGAGACGAAGGCCAACGGCCTATACTCAACTGTACCGTTCTCAAAATGAAAAAAAAAATTCTGCAGGGAGCATAATCCGACTTACACAGTCCGACAACGCCCTCGCGAGACTCCATTCATTCAACTGATCTGGAGCGAGAGTTACTCAGGCGATCCAAGCAAGAAATGTAACGACCGACTTGTCGCTCTTGACTCACGCTCACAGATGTCTGAGCTCAAGGGTGTAGTTCCTCCTGGTGCCTCGAGGACTGCCTCGAGACTGGACATTATTTTAACGGGGAAAAGAGTAACGGGGAATAGAGTAACGAAGAGTAACGAAGAGTGACGAAAGAATTACAAAGGGAAGGGCTAATGGTTCATGGTCCTTTTCGATTCGGATGTTCGTTCTTAATTTCAATATCAGTTTTTTGGGGATGGTGCATGTCGATAATGTCGACCATGTCGACTTGTCGATCTCGAAACGTGTTAGCACCTGCAGGTGAAGTTCATCGCGATTCATTGCCAAAACATGCGGAAAACGGTTCAAAAACGGTCTTTCGGTTCAAAAATAGCCCAGAGCTCGCAGTTTCTTCACTTTTCACGATACAATTTTTCATTATTTTATATTTCATTCATAATTCTTCCCGGATTCGTGAATTTGTTCATTTACGATCCCGGACGCCTCTCAGTTTTCGGAATTCCATCATGTTCGCGCTGACATTTTTTTTTTTGCATTGTGCACGAGCCGTCACTCACCATAGAAGTTAGCAAGAGATTGCCAAAGCGCGATTCCTCGTGGAATAACTTTTTTTTAAACTTTGATTCACTTGAGTCGTTTGAATGAATGTGAAGGAATGTTCCCGTTCCAGAACGGGAACAATCCAGGCAGCGGCGCGATAGAAGGCTTGCTGCTCAACACCGGCAGCGCCGTCTTCTGCACGAACGCGGCCGACAACCAGGGATGCCAGACCTGCATGACCGTGAGTCCAATTCAACCAGGGATGCCGGATCAGCGGAACCATCAAACGGCCTCCCTGGAATGCATCCACAGAATTTTCCAGTCCAATCGCCCCTTGTTCCCTTTAAAAGCCGATCCGCCCTCCATCCCCTTCCCCCTGGAACGCTCCTTGCAATGGACCCAGCTGACAACAGCTGACAACAGCTGACAACAGCTGACAACAGCTGACAACAGCTGACAACAGCAATGCTGCAGCAACTCTCATCCAACCAGCTGAATTTTCATCCCACTTCCTCCAACGCTTCCCATTCCGTCCTCTAGCCCGATTTCGACCCTTTTTGAAAATTGCGGCGAATCAAGCGTCCACTCATTTGATCCCTCGATTTTGCAGGACGGCGGCCTCCTAAACGTCTTCGACCCGTCGCCGTACACGACCAACATGGTCGATTGCATCCGGAAGTACTTCCGGAACCAGTACTCCTCGTGCGCCAACGGCCTCACGGTGAGCAGTCACGGATGAGCGAAACCGATTTGCTTGTCTTTGTTTGCCCTATACAGAAAAACATTATCCTAAATATTTAAATGCGTTCAGGAGGTGTTCACCTTGATAAAAAAAAATTATTTACAATGATGAATTCAATTAAAACAATAAGATTGTTCCAACACCGATTCTTGCATTATTCAACCCTTTCTTCAGAACTCCATCAGCAGAACGTACAGTGACTCTGTAGTATCAAGTGCAAGTTATTTAAATTTGCTACAGGTGGAGTCTTCGTAAGGAATGGACGCTTCTATCTATTCGTGCACGGTACATAAATAAGTTTCATGGAGAAGTAACGATGAAGTTAAAGGTGATCTGGAAACATTGTTACACGGGCAATAATCCATGAGAACACTGTTACATGGGCAATAATCCATGAGAACACTGTTACATGGGCAATAATCGCGTGGAAGCTGAAGTCCTAATTCCACATCCGCAGACGAGCGACCGAGGGACGTTCGGAGGGAATGTGCTGACCATCGAAAAAGCCATCGCCTGCGTCCTCGTTCCCCAAGTCAAGGGATCCGTGAGTCGCGATCCTCGCTCCTTCCAGCGAACCTTCTTTCCCCTTTGAAAGCGAAATGAGGCCCAGAAGTAGTAGCCAAATAATTTCTTTCTCGAGCATCCAAGCTCGTCGCATCATCTTGTCCATTCTTCTTTTAT